CTACTTGTTTTTAAAAATACTTCTTAACAGTGACTAAAGACTTGTAGTGTGTGATGAGACACATAACTGTAGATGGAACTAATTTAAAGCTACATGTATACATGAGTATATTTGCTTACCAATTAGTCTATCTTAAAAAACAAAAATTACAAAATGAAACTTGTGCTGAATGTTTTTATTGTAATTAAAATTATTAATGTGAATCTTATTCTCTGTTCGTTTATTTAGCCTGAGATGAGAGTGTCAGAGAAATTTGACTGGGTAAATAAATCTTTTTTTGTTTTGTAATAATTTGTTTTACTTATGAATAGTACAGTAAACTTACAGTTCAAGAAATGATAAAACGTTTGAACTGTTTACAGTAGATAAATTATATATCATCTTCATTATAACAGATCAGTGCAAAACCCATCATCGTTATATCAGGCCTAACTGTATTTCTTTGGTTTGGCGATCCAACTTGTGCTAATGAGCCATGAATAAGCAAAACTTCAGGCCACAGTAAAGGGTAGAGCCAGTCAACAAATGTGTTAGGCCTCTGTGTCACAGATGATACTTTCAATTTTACCTTTGATGAAAAAGAAATCTGTAACATATACATTTAGGTCATTGTAATGTTAGAGAGTATAATGAAAATATAGAGAAGTATGTAACATTTAGATAATACTAGATAACCCTAATTTTTATCTTATAAAGATGTAATCAAATTTAATATTAAATTTAAACAAATTACAAAAATCAATTTTATATTTATTAATAATTTTAAGTTGCATTTTGTGTTTTTGTGACAGTCAAACTGTATTGACTTACTTAATACAAAAACTTTAGTAATGTTGTGTTATATCTAGCTGAAACTGAATTAACTTGAGTAAGGATTTGGCCAAGAATGGAATATAGAGACTGGACACAATGTATAAATACAAATTTCATTAATTCTCGAACACAATGTATTTACTTACTTTTGACATGGGACAATCACTTCTAATGCATCTTCTATATTCTACTATTCAAGCTGAATCCACATACCAGACTCATTAAATTCAATGATCCCTACTTTGATAGAAAATTCACCTAAAGTAACTAATGTTACCCACATGACTGGTCGTTCTCATTCAAACATAAACTACAATTAAAGAAGTCTACTTATTACATTCTTTCCCAGTGTACAGTATTGCAGCACACACAAGGAGGGCAGAATAGATATTACTAGAAAACAACAAAGGAACAATGACAGCTAGAATGAATTCAATTTACATTTTATGTGAAACCCACACATATACAGAATAAATAATAAATACTGTAATAATACTGGGACATAGAAATGCATGGTATGTCATCATACTGCAATATCGTTTCACTGCACCTGTGAGAGTACTAGTAAAAATACTAAAAGAACCATTCTTAAGATTTCATTGTATAACTTATAACAGTAAAAATATTTCTTAAAAGACTATAATCTACCTGGAGAAAGATACATATATGTTACAAACAGAATCTTTAGCCAATCTGTAGCCTACATAACTGACTAGAGCTTCATAACTCTGACATGCTAATAGTCATGCAAGAAAATATAATTAATATTGTATATTTTAGTTGTTTGTCTTTTACAGTTGAATGGTCTGTTTCATTTTCTTCTAACAAAAGTTTCTCCATCTTCACAGATAACACAATATTACAAAGCTCTGGCAGGAGGTGAATACCTAGGCTTTAATAATGCCACGTGAGTAGGCACCATCTAAGTATATATATATAATGAGTCTATCGGATTAAATAGAAAGCAGTGTGGGACATAACATTAGCTATATATATATGTGTGTGTGTGTATATTAAGTAATTACATTAAAGTATATTAGTAAATAAAGTATATTAAAGTCATCAGGTTAGCTAGAAAGCAATCTGGTAATCTTACTGTTTCAATAAGATTGCTAGGGAGTAAATACCGTATTTACTCCCTGGTAATCTTACTGAAGTATTTACTCCCTGGTAATCTTACTGAAGTATTTACTCCCTAGTAATCTTACTGTGGTATTTACTCCCTAGTAATCTTACTGTGGTATTTACTCCCTAGTAATCTTACTGTAGTATTTACTCCCTAGTAATCTTACTGTAGTATTTACTCCCTGGTAATCTTACTGTTGTATTTACTCCCTAGTAATCTTACTGTTGTATTTACTCCCTAGTAATCTTGCTGTTGTATTTACTCCCTAGTAATCTTGCTGTTGTATTTACTCTTTGGTAATCTTACTGTAGTATTTACTCCCTGGTAATCTTACTGTAGTATTTACTCCCTGGTAATCTTACTGTGGTATTTACTTCTTAGATTTCTCTCTGAGCGAGAAGCAGCTGATAGGAACTACGCCATAGGATTTTACATGAAAGAGAATAAATGTTTCCCTGAAAAAGGAACTTTGAAAGAAATTATGGACTTTTACTTCCAGGTATACAATTTTGTTTTCAAACATAAATAATTTATGGACTTTAACTTCCAGGTATACAGTATTGTTTTCGACCATAAAGATATTATGGACTTTTACTGCCGGGTATACAGTTTTGTTTTCAACCATAAAGAAATTATGGACTTTTACTTCCAGGTATACAGTTTTGTTTTCAAACAAATGTTTCCCTGAAAAAGCAACTTGGAAAGAAATTATGGACTTTTACTTCCATGTATACAGTTTTATTTTCAAACATAAATACTTTATGGACTTTAACTTCCAGGTATACAGTTTTGTTTTTGAACATAAAGAAATTATGGTCTTTTACTTCCGGTATACAGTATTGTTTTCGGACATAAAGAAATTATGGACTTTTACTTCCAGTTATACAGTTTTGTTTTCAAAAATTTTTCTTGTTGTTGTAAGTAAGAATTTATCCTAGAGAGAGAGTAATCATGAAATACCTTTATACCAATGTTTTTTTTTTTCACTGTACTGATATTGTTGTATTTATTCTACTACTTGACAGTAAATTAAAAAACTATGATTTATAAGCATAATGAACTGGTTTTATTGTGGGAAACATACTACATGTTTCAACAGAACATCGGTGTGTCTTCTACAGGCCAATGTTCTGTCAAAGCCTGTAGTATGTTTCCCAAAATAAAACCAGTTTATTACATTTCTAACTCATTTACTATTTTACTAGCTAATACACAAATATTCTACTGCTGGATTAGCTTTCAGGTGCATGGGATTATTTCTATCATTTGTGTATGAAAACTATGATTTATAAGCATAATGAACTGGTTTTATTGTGGGAAACATACTACATGTTTCAACAGAACATCGGTGTGTCTTCTACAGGCCAATGTTCCGTCAAAGCCTGTACTCTGTTTCCCAAAATAAAACCAGTTTATTACGTTTCTAACTCATTTACTGTTTTGCTAGCTAATACACAAATATTCTACTGCTGGATTAGCTTTCAGGTTGCATGGGATTATCTCTATCATTTGATTGGTCTTCAGATCATTAGCATTACCTTTTATTAGATGAGTCTTCATACATGCTTTTGTATTCTATCATTTGATTGGTCTTCAGATCATTAGCATTACCTTTTATTAGATGAGTCTTCATACATGCTTTTGTATTCTATCATTTGATTGGTCTTCAGATCATTAGCATTACCTTTTATTAGATGAGTCTTCATTCATGCTTTTGTATTCTATCATATGATTGGTATATTTTTCTGGTGTTTCTTTTTTCTTTACCAGAAATCATTGAAGAAAATAATCAGGAAAGACTTAATTAACATTTTAATTTATGTAAATTAATCTTTTGATTGGCCATTAAATAGCTATTTAATTTTGATTTGAAGGATCTATAGAGATTTTATGACGTATAAAAATTTGATTTAGAGATAAGCACAAACCCATGAAAAATACTTTTCATCAGAAGAATTAAGGGGAAATCCTTTCAGACCCTCCTTTGTAGTGTCATGCATCATTTTCGATAGTTAATAATTATTTAGATAAACGTAAGGGACATTGAAAATGTCCTATTGTTGAAGTGTCACTTCAGCAGACTCAAAAATTTGGTAAGGTCAAATTGTCCATGTCATTACCTGTTCCAGAGTTACATTCAATATTTAATTATTATCAATGTATTTCAACAAATTTGGCATCATAACATAGTTGGGCTGGCATGGCATGGTGATTAGGGTGCTTGACTCACAATCGGAGGTTCCCAAACATACTTGTCCTTCCACCCTTGGGAACATTATAAAGTAATGGTCAATCCCAATATTTAGTGGTAAAGAGTAGCACAAGAGTTGGCAGATGGCTAGCTACCTTTCCTCCAGTCTATCACTTCAAAATTTAGGATGACTAGCACAGATAGTCCTTAAGTAGTTTGTCCAAAATTCTAAATAAACAGTCATAACATGGTTTAAAATTGAAATTTTAATATTATATAAGTTTTAATTTATTAATTTCCAAAAAAGGAAATATTTAAATAAATTCTTACGCTTCACTTGTTTATAGCATATAACACTTCTTTGCTCGGAACTGTCCTTTTTTGATTTTCTTCTACTCCTATACGACCTCTTAACATTCCAGAAACTTCACACTTATACTGTCATAGAGCTAAATTGTCACTTTGTAGCACTAAAGATTTTTGCTTTATGGAGATATAAACAATAAAAGCTACATACCACGCCTCTCCCAGAATGTCCTGCTTTCAAAACTTGTCACAAAACGTCTTTGGCATTTGCAATTGGATTATTTCTAACCAGTTCAAAGCAATGATTTTAATTTACTGGAATAATCAGATCTGAACATCTTGGTGTCATTTTCTTTGTTTGTCACTGTTGGAGCTCAGCTGGACCAGATGTGGGAAGCTATTTCTAGCTTAGTTAGAAAGCCAGATAATTTATATTAATTTTAGTACATTCTATTCGATATGGGTGGCAAAATTTCATACTCTAAATTGCATAATTTTAACTTATAGAAATTTCTGAAAAGAAATTATTGTTAATCAGAATTAGGCTTAATCTTTGACATCAATTTCTATCATACGGGTGGTAGAGCTTGAAAAAAGACAGGATTTCAGATGTAATACTTCAGTATTTACATATATACATATATTGTTGATTCTTACACTTGAGAATTTTCTACAATTTTAGTGAATAAGTGGGAATTTCACAATACAGACTTAAGAGTATAAGTTAAGTACATTTATAAATATAAATTTAACTTAAACAAACATTGATATTAAAATAGATATGTGATAGTAAATCCATCACTACATTTATTGTTTTTTATTTATTTTTGTTAAAGTTACTAAAATGTAAAAATTATGGAAACTTGAATGAAATTAAATAATAAACAAATTACTTATGATCAATGATAGCACGTGCTAAATGGAACCATAGTTGTGTAATTTGGCACAAGCATGCTGGTAACTGGATCTGTTGTTTACACAAAGGTGTCTGGCATAATAAATAGCCATAACCTGAGAGGGCCTAGGTGTAATGGAAAGAAATAAACCTAAATAAAAAATCTGTCAGCTTTGGTCATAAAATGTCTGTAATCGTCTGTTAAATCTGTCAGCTTTGGTCATAAAATATCTGTAATCGTCTGTTACAATGTGTAGCTATTCTAGATAAAAATGGTGATTCATATCTCATATATTTTTTAACATAATATTTACCACATATAGTCTGTATAGTGTGTGAGGATAAAAAATACAATGTTTCACTGGGAGAAAAAAAAACCTTGATATTCATTTCAGAGCTTCTAGAGGTTATGCAAATGATAAATGAAAAATATATGGTGAAAAAAAATATTCTTAATGTTAATGTGAAAATCACAGACTTTTCAAAATTATAAATTAGACTCCATAAATTCACTGACAAATCTTTATGAAAAATACTTAATTAAAAAATCTGATTTTTTCTGTACAAAAGACTCGTAACATTTACTAAAATCGTGCCTGATTTCATGAAGATACACATGCTACATTAAACGTTATAGTTTTTATACTTTAATTGTTATCTGGTGGTTTCAAGGTCCGTTACAATGTACAAGCCCATATAAAGTCATTTAATAAATCTTTCTAGCTGTAGTTATATTCACTGTTTGATCACTTTTTAGGTGTGTTCTTTGGAGGTAAATTGTGAAACCATTAGTGTTATGGCTGCCACTCTTGCTAATGGGGGAATCTGTCCAATCACTGGCCAGCAAGTAATAGACAGCCATGCCGCCCGGGACGTCCTTTCTTTGATGCATTCTTGTGGAATGTATGACTACTCTGGCCAGTTTGCCTTTAAGGTAAGTCAATGTCCTCAATGTGTTTCAAACACTTACATAATTGATACTTGAAACCGTTTGAACTTGGTATCTGATGATGCCTGGTCTTGAATAAGTTATGTATTTGTGAAGTGTACAAATGTCTTCTTTTTCCTCAATTCAAACATTTATGTTCATGCCCTGGAATATTATTCAGAATTCTGTTAGATAGCTTTGTAGTAATCTTAAGGAAGTTTGAAATTAAACCTAAAGTAAATTTTATTTTCAAACCAAAAAATCAGTTAAATGTTTTTACTAAAATAACTTTTCATAGAAAAATGGTGCATGTTTGTATTCACTTGTAGACAGTGGCATAACTTTGATTACAAAAGTGGTGGGGGAACAGTTTCTATAGCTTGGGTATTCAATTATGATTTTTATTTTAATAGAGAGGAAGGAAAAATGATTATATTTTTCATGAACATCTTTGGTATAGGTGGGGCTACCAGCAAAGTCAGGTGTATCAGGGTGTACCATGGTTGTGGTTCCTAATGTTATGGGCATCTGTCTGTGGTCACCACCTCTTGATGCTTATGGTAATTCAGTACGTGGAGTCCAGTTCTGTGAGGTAAGAAACCTTAAGCTCGTTAAATCTTTTAGGAAGAAAAAATGAAATTAAGATCAGTTTTCTTTTCATAAATATTGAGTTAGTGGGTAAAAGACATATTTGAATCTTCAATATTTATTTTGGGCGACATGACCCAGACCAAAGTAAAGCTTAGTTGCACAGAACTGACACAGAGACCCCATTAACACTTGCAACTGGACATTGTAGTGTGTCGAATACCTATGTCGGATATGTTGTTTTATTTAAACTTAAATGCTATCCATAAGTTTTCAATAAGTGGATATCTCTGTTAACTTATGAACCTCAGGGATAGCTTGTTTCACTCAAGAGCAATGAGTAAAATCTGGTTTTATTTGTAGCAACATTATAATACTCTCCTAATACATGATTCACTTACTATTTCTTTTCTTTTGTGATGTTAATTTACATTTAAATTTATTTAGCTTTTATTTTATGTCAACATAACTAAAGTAATGATAGAGATTATAAGTGTGTTGATTTCTTATTTAAGCCAGTGATAAATAAAGTGAAAGAAGTGTCACCCCCCAGAAAAAGTTCTTGACGGTTGAGAAACGTAGTAGCTAATTTGTTATGTGACTGGCCTTTAAAAGATAGTTCCCCACATATGTTTTGTTCTCACAGTTCACCCCTCTCTTCTGTTGCTACTTTTGTTGTGGTCAAGTTTACATTCTGTGTGGATTTGTATACTATTTTTGCTGTTAAGAAATTATAATATGACTTTCTCTACCTGGACATCTATAAACATTTGTAGAAAAACGTGTTGATTCTTTATATACAGAGCCCAGCATGGCCATATGGTTAGAATGCTTGGCTTGAATCTGTGGGTCGTGGGTTCAAATCCCTGTCTCATCAAACACGCTCGCCCTTTCAGCCATGAGGGTGTTATTATATAATGGTCAATTCCACTATTCATTTGTTAAAGAATAGCCCAAAAGTTGGTAATTGGTGGTGATGACTAGTTGCCTTTCCTCTAGTCTTTCGCTGCTAACTTAGGGACAGCTAGCACAGATAGCCCTTGTGTAGCTTTATGAGAATTCAAAACAAACCAAACTTTCTATACAAAAACCTATAAAAACTATATGAAATATAACATAACATAATATTTTGGGACAACATGGGACCTATTGGTCCATCTCGGCTGTTTCATCGTAAAATGATTAAAAAAAATATTAATAATAAAATTTTAAACCCAATGCTTATCACTCATAT